CATACGATGTTACATGTTCATCTTTATCTACTTAAATGATGAAGAACTTAAAGGGTAACTTTACACAGACTGGCAGGTGAGCTAGGTAGGTTCAAGACATACTCACCTTAACTGTAAACTCAACGTTAAACTGACTAATTAAACGCTATTTACCTGCCTTTGTTAAAGGATTCTGGTGTGGACATAAACACTAAATCTTTACACTCTTTTTCTCCTGGCTGCCTCATTCATGTGGTGAGGGAAAAAAATGAATCTAAACTGAAATGTTGTGCTTTCTGTTTTGACAGGTGACCTACAAATGGCTGAGTCTCACTCTGGGAGTCCATGTAAACACAGCCAAACAGTGAGTGTGTCTCCTCCTCTGCAGGCTACATCATGATGAAACTATGCTGAAATGGGAACAAGCCAGACATTTACTTTCAGATCCAGTTGGAAGCTCAATCAATACATCACCATACTGTCTGTAATACACTGAATAAGTCTTTGGCATGATATTAATCTCTAATATCTCACACTGAGGACTTTAAAGTGTTTTTTTCTATCAAACCCTTTATATAAATGTATTTAACAGAATGGGTGAACTTTCCTAAAAGCATCAGTCTAGTGTTACACAAATACCTTGCAGCCGATGGCGTTGCACAGTTGTTCAATATCAGCTTTTAATTTTATCGTAACTCAAAGCCGGTGTACAATAACTTCAAATATGCTCTAAAATATCCAAAAGATGATTAAAATCAAGAGAACAAGCGGATAAAAAAGTAAACAAGGCTAATAATTCAGTGTCAACATCCAGTACATGACTGTTTTCAATCCTGCTGTAGACACACAGAACAACACACTGTTTTTACATCTGCGTGAGATAACCTCTGCAGGGTCTAACAGTGTGCACTGACATGCTGTAGGTGTGTAAATATAAAGGAGATCATGCAGTAATAGTAATAATATCAATTCAAAATAAAACCATTAATATGTGTGTTTGTCTTCAGGATGCTCTACCATTACTTGGATCACAAGAGGAAGGAAAGTTCGGCTCAGCTCCATGCCACCTACCTTGTGTCGGGGAAGTTTGAGGACAATGGCCAAACGGTGAGAAACGCAAAATATATTAACAAGACCTGGTTTGGTATAGTTTGCTTATTTCTGTACACACTGACTTTCTGTTTTGTGTTGCTGATGTTGTGCTTTCTTTCAGGGTCACAAGGTGTCCGTTGTCAAAGAGGACCAGTTGGAAGGTGTGTAAATAATGTTCACCTGCGTTTACTCTGTAATTGTTTTATTGGTTTTAACTAAACTAAACTCTAACTAATCACCCATCCTCTGGTGTTTTTTTTTTTTTTTT